TGTACAACCTAACAAGTGAAAACTCTGGGGGTGAACCGGTAGTAAACGGAAGGCCGCCTCAATGTCAGCCTTAGCCAAAAGGGCACCTTGACCATATCGCCTGACCCAACGGACCGCCCGTCAAACGACGTGTACGACACCGTACAAAATTCCGGGTCGATCGCGTCATTGACAGAGCCCCCCTTGGGGAAAGAGAGATGGTGTATCAACCGAAATTTATTCGGTTCTTTCTTGGGCACCAAACCCAAGGGTGATACCACTAAATCCGGCAAAGGCGGCTTTGAAAAGGGGCCCCCCACGCGACCCAAACTAACCTCCTTAGCCAGTTTACTACCGTGGGATGTAGATAAGCCGACTTTAAACTTTTTTGAGACTGGGGGAACTGATGAGAGAGAACAAGGAATGCGAAAACCTTCGCTGAAACCTGAGACCAAAAACAAGGCCGACTCCCTATCCGGGTATCTATTTAGAAAAGGACGCATCCTTGTGACCATCACTGGGGTCAGCCCTTTTTCCCGCAGACTCGCTGGAACGGCCCCTACCTTGTTTGAAGCATCTGGAAAAGGCATGGGCCCCCCGCACCCCGAACAATCGTGTTTGAATCGACAGGCGTTTCCAAACTTACAGACGCTGTCGTTGAACTGCCAGCAAAACACCTTCCTTTTTGTGGCCAGTTGCACCGAGGTGGAGGATCCGCCGCCCCCCCCCCTGGAAAAACTGGTGACCCGCCCGAGCCGACGTCATCAGCTTCATCCAGAGGCTGATGTCTTTATGGTCCCACTGCAACTGCGAGCGAATGGCTTTGCGCTGACGAAATTGCTCATCATAGCGAAGCCATGCTACACCGCCATATACCCTGTGTGCTTCACCAATAGCATTCAGGTAGCAAAATAGAGCTGAGCAATGCTCAGGATTCTTTTCGGCAATCACGCTGGCCAAAATGGCAAACGCCTGTAGCCAATTGGCGAACGTACGTGGGATGAGCCTGTACCTGCGCCTCTCCTCAACCTCTTTTTTACTGTCATCTGTCTTTACCCTGTCCAAATTAAATTTTTCCAGCTGGAGGAGAGTAAATATTTCTATGTACTCACCTCGCCAAATCTTCTCCCTCACTTCAGGTTTCAAATGAGCTCCTAACGGCCCCTCGAAACAGACATAGACCTCACATTTTGCAGCGTCAGCCAAGCGAATTCGTTCACCGGCCAACACGCCGTCTGTCGACTTACCTTGCTTATCCGTTGTTCCTGACGCATTCCCGAGTTGCCCGTCTCCAGCGGCGTGTGTCACGCCCTGAACGTCAACAGATCCCCCCACCGCTACCGCCGATGGCCCAGAAAACCTCGGCAACAACCGGGGCCCCAGGAGCTACAACCTGCTGCGCAGAAGCGGTTGAACTTGACCCAAACTTTTTTAACAAATCCTGCAAACCGCCAAGTAAAACCTGCAACCCGTGACCAGATTGCGGCTCCCCCACTACACCCCGGCTGCAGCAGCCGCGTGGGGCGCCACTACCCTTGGCCGCTGCGCGAACGCTGCCGACCCTGCCAGACCCCTACCTACCCCATTATCTAAAATATTAAATAGAGAAGCATACAGAGAAGAAGAAAGTCTCTTACCAGGCTGCCCAGGTACCGTCCCGTCAGCCTCAGATCCAGTATCCCGCCGCCGTGTGGCGCTGTCCTCTTCTTCAGAAGCTGAGAGTTTCCCTGCAGTTCTGGTGTCACTCATCTGGCTCCGCCCCTCGAATCTGGATGTCGGCTGGAGCGCGATGCCTTCTTCACCCATGCTGGGCTGGCGCTGCCGGTGATGAAGTTTGTACTTTTGATCGATCACCGGCGCCCGCCGATGACGTCATCCCACGACGGGCCGCCACCCTGACTGGAGCATCGCCAGAGGGTGTGGGGGGAGGGGTGCTCGGTTGGACCAGCACGTACGCTCACCCGAGGGCCCCGCCGAGTATGTGGATTCCTCCCACGGCCGCCGGGGACTGAAGCGGATGCACGCTTAGTCGGCGGCCCTGGAGGGTCCCTGCTGGGGCTCCGGACACGGCGCTGAGCCCTGGGGGAGCAAGGGGGTGAAA